TCCCCAAAGACTTAACATTTATCATATGACATGTGTCAATAAATGTTCTTTAAACAAAATGAAGTCTCTCCTGATTGAACTAACCCAAAATGCTCTAACATTGTTAATCTTCTAGTAATCCCCAATTTTGGGGGGGAAATGTAACAGTTATCTGATTGTCTTTTTTTTAAGCAACTATAAGGGAACACAGTTACCTTTTTTGTATCCAGATTGCGTAATCCCGTAATAAATTGCAGTCATAAGGAAAGTGCTTTGTGGATTGTTCTTCCACTGGCATGTAAAATATCCTGACAGAGCATGATACTAAGAAGAATTATCAAAAGATAATGTGACATATGTTAAAATGAGTGATGATGTTGGTTACAGTATGTCCTAAGAAGCATACTTGATGCTTGGGGGGTTGAACCTTGTATTGGTTGGTACCAAAAATGTGTGTCAATGAGAAAGCTGGATATGGATATTACATTTCTGCAAGCAATTACAGTCCTTGTGACAAATCCTTTGTAAGGGAGTTATTTTTGTTCGAAAATTACACTTATGTGAATAAAACGCATCAGCTGCAGAGTTATCAAACCATATTAGTTGAGGTTATCTACCTTCGTTCTATCTCTTCCACACTTTGAAAATGTGTCTCTATAATAAAAGCATCCAAGATATAAAGCTTTTGTGTCCTCATACCAGAGGCAGTATGTACTTTTTTGCCTTTCAGCTTGAGATATAACCAATGGACAAAGTAATGTGAGACTTGTGAAGAGCTTATTAAGGTCCTAGAAGGTTAGACAGTGCACCTACAGAATATTGCTTTTATTTCAAACTCTCAACACCTTTTAGTCCAGTCAAGGTCTGTCACATCAATCTTATTTGTCTTAACCCTATCAAGGTGTTAAGACACAGATTGTGTCCAGCAGTTCTGGAAATGTAGATGTTGTGTAATGGAAATAATTATTTATTTCCTGTTTAAGTTACTACAGAACGTCATTTTTCAAGATTGAGAAGCAACAATCATTTGAATTCTGATTTGAACAAGTGGGGTTTTAATATTAAAAATTCCACTGCTTTGTTGGCCATCTTTACGAAGCAGTTCTTGAAGTTGATTGCTTCTCTTAATGTAAAAAATAATAAATTACTCATTAAAAATAGGTTACGGTCACGTTTCAGTGTTTCCCCTATATACAAATAGTGGTGGCGCAGCGCCGCTGCTGAAATATGCACGCCACTGCTAGGGGGCGCCAGCCAGGTACCCAACATTTTTTTTTAAATAATAATAATTGGCGACCCTTTTTCATTTTGGATTGTTTGTTATGTGGATTTGTAGTATTTGTTACTGTATGTTCAATAAAGGTGTATTTTTGCTAAATCTTGAGACATTGCCACTGTGTGTACTGGCAGGGCCGATTTTTGACATAGGCGACATAGGGCGCCAGATCTGGGGGGCGCTGCGTTGGTAGCTCTGGGAGGGTAAACATTTTTTTGGACCGTCGGCGCTTATCCTAATTTTCGGCCATGATGTAACAACATTCATAATTAAGTAAATGTAACATCCTTTTCACCCCGGTTACACTTTTCATTTGCCCAGGATGGGCGCTGTAAGTGATGAAAGTGGGGGATGTTGGCTTATCAGTCGCCCGCAGCTCACAGTCAAAGTGCGAGCGTGGGAGAACAAAAATCAAATCCGTCTTGAAATCATAACGAGTACAGCCAGTTTACATTAGCTGTTAACAGATGGTGACAGAGGTCCTATTCACATGCATTACAAGGGGTTTTGTAAGAAATTAAAATCAATGTTTATATGGCATAATTTAGATTAAATATTCTGTATAATTAAAGCTGTTTTATTCTGAAAAACCGGAAGTTCACATAGCCTACACTCTTTAAATTTAAAACTGTATTCTGAAACTTCTTTATTTCCGGTTAGTATTAGCCTGTGGCTACGTTTTTAAGAAAAGTGAATTGAAGGTGAAAATGACACGTAGTGTTGCACACTAAAACACACTGACTTTAACACTACACGTATTGACGCTGAGATGTTATTATTGCTGAATATGAAATGAATGAACCAGTTTTATTTTAAAAAGCTTTATTGAAGGATAACCCATTTGTTTACACGACGTCACTTCCGGTGCTACATGACGTCACTTCCGGCCAATCGCAAACTAGAGGCTTCTCAATTCTTAAATTTCCCCTCCTCGACTGCCCTCCTCGAGACTTAGTCCCGCCCACAGGAGATGCGAGCGGAGGACCGAGGAGGGGAACCGAGGAGAGAGGAGGGGGAGCAGCAGGCGGTTAGAGAAATGAGAACTCCTCTCCTCTGAGAGGTCATTTTAAAGAGACGTCCATTAATGATTACAGGAGGCACAGCAGCCCTCTGTCTGATGGACAGATGTGTTCATGACGATATATTTACTTTGATTGATTGACAGTGCGGTATAATGAGACAATAACAGGCTACAGATGCGGACACACACACACAAAAAAATATTTATATAAATATATACAATTTAAAGTACGCTCTCGTACTTTAAATTGTATATATTTATATAAATATTTTTTTGTGTGTGTGTGTCCGCATCTGTAGCCTGTTATTGTCTCATTATACCGCACTGTCAATCAATNTTCTTAATAGCTTGTTTGGGTCCCTCACTTCCGTTTAGCTTCTCGTCCACTGATTCGCTAGCTGAACAGCCAATCAGAGTGATTTATTTGACCGGCAGTCTTCGGCCGATTGCCTACCATGTCGATTCGGTAGGTTTTCGGTCAAAAAGGCGTCGGCACGGCCAAAAAGACACGACGGTGCGGGACACACCAATCTGAGTTGGGCGACACAACGCTCATCGACGGCTGACATCTATCGACGGCTGAAATCGTCCGGTGTGTCCGGGCCTTTAAGCCCCGGACACACCGGAAATCGGCCGTTTTCGTTAGTTGGACGACGAAGCGTGCTCTGTTGCCCAAACTCAATTTGGTGTGTCCCGCACCGTGACACGCCTTAATGGCCTTTCATGGCCGACGCACGGCCGATTCGACATGTTGAATCGGCCGTGCGCCACAGGCAGTCGGACAAAGAAATCACTTTGATTGGCTGTTCAGCTAGCGAATCAGTGCATGAGAAGCGAAACGGTTGCTTGAGAATGTCTTCCACAAGCAACACTCCAATGGCTGATAGCTCCGGTACCGCACGAAACATGTTTTCGATGGGCGAGAATGAAAATGGAACGCACACACTATTTGTTGTTTGTTTATATCACATAGTCTGTTCTTCTTCTCTGTCTTCCGGTTGTTGCCTCTTTTGAATGACGAATACACACTACCGCCGCCTGCTGGTAAGGAGAGTTATTGCCACTCACGCATGCGCAGGAGAACACGCCGACGCAACCGACGCAACAGTCGGCGTCGGCGTTGGCAAGTTCTCTGGTGACGGCTTGGTGTGTCTGGGCCTTTAGACCGAACAGGCAGGTCAAAACCTTGTATTATGAATAAATCATTCCTCATAGCACCCTGTAGCTGGTCGATTCGTTGAGTATTATTAGTTATGTAAGATGATAATGAGTTCCTAACACTGTTTTCGAGAGCTCACTTACAACACGGAGCCATTTGGGGTTCAGTTTCTCACAAAGGACACTTCAACATGTTTTCAAGGTCAGACTTCTACAGCGGCTCTTACCGTGTGTTCACTCCAAACTAAAAACTAATCTAAAGAGACCGAAGGCTCCGGGGGAAAGGAGCTGGTTGTTCTGAACAAAACACATTCAGGAGAAAGTAAAAGTCCCTTCATTTAAACAAATCAAACCTTTTTCTTAAACATTTCATGGTTTTTTAAAGCAAATACAACTTCATGGCGTCAGACGGGCAAACCTTTTGATGAACATCTTAACAGACTGTGTGCAGCCCAACGGAAAGCAGCAGAGTGAAACGTTGAAAGGCACTTCAAATCAACCATTGAGGCCCGTTCTTCACAGACCCAGAGACTTTGAGATGCTGTCATTCATTTCAGAAGTCCTTCTCTGTTCCTGTGAGTCAGAGCCTCCGTCAGAGCGCACCCTGCAGCACGCTCACTCACATTTGATGACAAATTTACAACAAAAGCTGACATTGTTTGCATCTGTCATACAGCCTCACATTGCAATTCCAATTCACATACATTAAGTCTCTACTAACAGCTGCTTCAAACGTGCAGACATGTTTTATTGCATTGAGCAACATGTGGTGTTGCTCTCCACTGTACACACCTGATTTAAATGAATATACAAATGCGGGTTTTAATGATTCAGATGCTGTTAGATTGGAAAAATTGCGTCATTATGGCTGCTATTGGCCGCCCAGTATGAAATCAGGACATTCAAAGTGTTACAGACGCATAACTCTTAAGTGTGTGTGTGCAAAACACAATGGTAAATCAATATTTGTGTCCGTTTGATTAATCCATGATATCTTGCAGAGCTCTACTTTTAAATAGAAGTACATTTCAGGGATAGTTTCAGTTTCCGAGCTGCTGTTTGACTGCTACTTTTGGACAGAGTGGGAAGTAGTGGAGTACAAATACTTCGTCGCTGTACTTAAGTACATTTTCCTGGTATCAGTACTTAACTCCACTACTTATTTTTCTGACCACTTTCTTTAAAACAGCTGGTGGTTATGGGTACTTTTTACTTAAGTACATTTCAAAGCCCACTTCTCTACTTTGACTTGAGTAAAGAAGTTTAGTCAGTACTTCTACTTTCACCAGAGTATTTTTGAACACGAGTATCTGTTCTTCCACTTGAGTAAAGCATGTGTGTACTTTTGCCATCTCTGAGGACGAGTCATTTTGTGGGAATTAAGGCTAAAAAAGGGTTTATTTTGAATAAAACACTGGACGAAGCCCTATTTGTTTTGTCCGTCAGTGTGTGTGTGTGTGTGTGTGTGTGTGTGTGTGTGTGTGTGTGTGTGTGTGTGTGTGTGTGTGTGTGTGTGTGTGTGTGTGTGTGTGTGTGTGTGTGTGTGTGTGTGTGTGTGTGAGCCTGTCAGAGGCGTGTGTCCTGCACCTCTTCCTCGGCCTCCTCCTTCAGGGAGCAGATGGGCTGCGGCGCCGCCCTCTTGCTGGAGTTGAGGCGGTGCAGCGTGGGGAACAGGCGCAGGCGGTCGGCCGCGCTCATCGCTTGCTTCAGGTGGCTCGTCTCGTTCAGAAGCTTCTGGATGGAGTCGTAGCGCTTCATGGAGGAGCCCTCGATCATCTGCAGGGACAGGGGGGAGAGGTTGTTATGAGTTTATCTAGAACTGATCTCTCCATCTATGTTAAATATAGTACTTGTTTTTCTTAATTAACCTTTTATTCCAGGACCAGACACTTTTTACGCTGCTGTGGAAAACCTTGCACTAATGTACATTTCCCAAAGATATTGAAGTGACTGTTATTGTGTTATAGTGATTGTTGTGTTTATTTTTATCTTATGTGTGCACATGTATAAATGTGTCTGTTGATCGTATATATAGGATATACATATTTTATACATATTTGTATTTTTGTAGTCAGGATTATGGGAAACGGTATTTCGATCTCTGTCTGCACACAAACTGAAAGATTGATATAAAGTTGACTTTTGATTGTATTTTACTTAAACAATTCGTATATTATATATCTTTCATTTTTTATTTGATCTTTTATTGCACATTTGTTCCTTAAAATGTTTATATAAATATTTGTTTTCTATATTTGTTATCTTATCTTTTATTGGACATTTTGACATACAATGATATAAAACATTCAATATTTACTTAAAGGGGACCTATCATGCTATATTTGAATAATATATTGTAGGGCCATACCTATACAAGGTATATTTATAAGTTTTATTTTTCAAAATACCAAACAGATCATGCATTTTAGCCATGCCTCATTTTGCCTCACTCCAGCTTCTGCAAAGGAAGGGGCGAGGCACAAGCGTCATGTTACTATGCTGTTGCCATGCTGTTGCTATGCTGTTACCATGCCACGGCAACCTCTCATTCCCCTGATAGGTGGAGAGTTGACCATACAGGCGGAGTGCACCTCTGTGACATCATAGAGGTGCAAATCAGAATCCACATGTATCAAATCCGTTGCAGCCCCGTTTTTAGAGATTTGGGTATGGAGGAAAAGAGAGAGGGTTGTGTTTTCTGACACTTGGTGAGTTCCCTGGAACACCGGGGACACATATTCATGTATAAAAGACGTACAAAAGTGCATTTTGCATGATAGGTCCCCTTTAAGGGATAGTTAAAAATAGTGTAAAACATTCTCACAACCAGCCAGGACAGCACCATCCTACAACACACACACACACACACACTCACCTGGTCACAGCCGGTGTTCACCAGCTCCTGCAGCATCTGCCGGTTCACCTCCCCGGCGCCGGCAGGGTGTCCCGACCCGGAAGAAGGGCCGAACTTGTCGAACGGCATGAGGGACTTGCGGATTTCTCGCAGGGCATTCTGGTAGTTGTTGAACTTCTGCGGGGGTCTGAGCTGCTGCTGCCGGCTGGCCGCGTCTTTCCCGCTCTTGCAGTCGGCCGCTCTGCTGCCGTCGGACCGCGAGCTGCCGCCATGAAACGCCTGGCTCACCAGCTTGGCCGGCTGCTTCAGGCCCTCCTTGATCTCCTGGAGCCTCTGCCGAGTGTTGCCCACATACGGGGCCGCTGGGAAAGTCTTGGGCCTCATGGCCTCAGTGCCCAGGGCAGGCACCTACTCTAAAAAAGGGAAGCACACACACACACACTTACACTCCCTCCAAAAAAAGATTCCTTTCAAACTGGCTGCGAAAAAACGTTGGGAGATTTGGGAGTCGTCCTCGGTTTGTCTGCGTCTCTCTTTGTGATTCTGAAGATGCTGTAGATTCTGGAGATGCTGGATGAAGGTGAGGAACTACAGGCATGCCATGGTGTGGCTTTCAAGGCTCAGGTTCCAACTTATTCCAGGAAATGCAGCCGGTCACGAGGGCGCCGCGCAGCCAGACCATGATGCTGCCAGTCCCCGCCTGAGGAGGAAGGGATGGAGTTAGATGGAGACTGCGGTCATGCATGGTGTTCATGCATTTTCTAAAATTAAAGCTAGCGCTGGGCAGCTTACACTTTCAGCACAGGGCAGGTTGTGTGGACCAGAATGGACACTGCACACAGTCAACTTATAAGGCCTGGTAACTTTAAATATGTTGGTGACTCAAAACCAAAATCACCAATTTTAAACCGATTATACATTTTGATGATTTCAGTGCAGCAGAAAAATAACAACCAACACGATATAACATATGAAACGTTTAAAAGGAAAATAAGTATGACATTTGGCCAATTGCATGCCAACAGGTACCTAGTACTTGTATAATTAATAGTATAAATGTACAAAAATGATAACCAGATGTTATTTGGCATTTGAACAAGATCTATTCAAGCCTGACTTAAGACTAAAAATGCCTGGATTTTCAGTTATTCTAACAGAAACATCACATGATAGGACCAGTTTGAAACCGGTCAAATCTGGAAGTGTGACTCAGTATTAGTCCATATGTGGTGCTAGTGCATACCTACTGCACAATTCAAGAATGCTAGGTGTCATCAAACCAGCTGCCCCCCCCCTCAATACATAGCAGCGGTTGCACAAGTCAGCCCCTGTCAGTGCATACTTGTGCTACGAGGTCATCGGTAAACACCCTTGTGAGAGTGCAGCAACGAGGGGTCCAAACATTCAGATGCTCGCCTGTGATCAGACATTTAACACCGTTTGACAGTCTTATCTGCGGGAACATACTCCGCATTCTGCCACAGCAGCGCTACTCCCGCAGGGCAGATGGGATGACGCGTGAGATAAATGCACATGTTCCTGTCAGGAGCCTCACGTGAGGACCTGCAGTCCAACGTGAAACACACAACTTGGGGGAGCACAATATGGTTGGAGGAGGCAAATATATTAGGGATGCACGATATTGTTTTTTTGAAACCGATACCTTCCTGCTTCTCAAGACCGATACTGATAATAATATAATATATATAATATATATATACACACACATTAAATGTAACTGTTGCCTTTTTCCCTCCTCGTGGAACTTCTGCATTGCATGTGTTAATACAAATAGCAAGCGAACTATCTAACTCTGAAACTTTGAAATAGTCCCATACTAACGACGACATGTTTGTTTACTGTCCTGGCTTCACGGCCGCACACCATTTACGTCACAGCCAGGCATGAGTTAGGGAGCGCTGGATTTGTGAAAAACTCCCCTCTTCCTAAACCACTAATACCACAGTACTGGCAAAATGGGAGGAGCCGAGTGAAAAACAAGCGCCCCTCATCCCAATCCACCCACACCGCAGTATTTTTTATTTTTTTTTACCCAAAAAAGATATTGTATATTATCGGGGCTATTAATACTTTTATCGGGTTTATCGGGATGACGTCATAATTCCTAATATCGGACCGATAATTATCGGGCCGATAATTATCGTGCACCACTAAAAAATATGAAGCTGAAAATGTACAGAATAACTTAGGAGGATGTGTGAAGTGAGTTGTATTGAATTGAACATTTCTATATATCCCTACCGCTCTTTAAATCCGCACAACCCTCCACTTAAAATGATAATATACTGCAGGTCGTAAAATGTATTTTCTTTTGTCTTTGCACCACCACACACAAATCCTCCCTGTATGTGTGAATGTACCTGGCAATAAACTCCATTTTGATGATCATAAGCTGATAAACACCACTGTTACCCACAGGAATGTACTCTTTGGGACAAAAACATGTCCCAATGACACACTTAGCAGAAGGATGAATAACAAAGTGTACACAGTTAGAATATCTCTGTGGGGCTATACTTAGGCACAGCGGTCCTTGGAGCTCAACACTCACATCAGGATGCCAACTTGCCCACGTTGTTAACATGCCGATGTTAATGTAGCGTCTTTATTTAGCGTGTCATCATGAAGACATTTGTTAATCAGCCTTAAATAAAGAAGAGCCTGGTGGGAATGAAGACCTCGTTTTGTTATTTGGTCATAAATCAAAAGGATTGGACTCCTTTTGATCTGAACTATCTAGATCAGTTAATCTCAAATGGGGGTACGCGGACCCCTATGGGTACGTTGGGGTACTGCAGGGGGTACATGAGGTAAAAATAAATAAAAAGGTTGATTAAAAAAATACCATGCATGATTACAAAAATAATCTTAATACAATAAGTTAAATAGAAAACACAATTTTATATAAAATATTCCTAGTACCACTAAGGGGGTCCTCATATAAACATGTATTACATTTGTGTATTGAATTTATAGTTTTTAATAATTCATTTTCATTTTGTTCATTGGTTTGTTAAACATATTAATTCAATTGAAAAACTTCTTGGAAAAATATTTGTTTTCATGCATAAAAGATGAAAATATCCTTAGTTTGTTGTAATTCATGCATGAAGGAGTTAATAAATCACACACTGAGGGAACATCACTATATTGTGATTGTTTATATAAGCTTTTTCTGTCAAAAATGTCCGGGGTCGGTCAGGGGGTACTTGGCTGAGAAAATGTTTCAAAGGGGATACATTACTGAAAAAGATTTGAGAAGCACTGTGCTAGATTGATGACAAGTTAAAGAGTCACACAAGTTGTTCAAATTCATCCTGACTGGAATCAACAACATTTCATGCGACTTAGTGTGGCGAAAAAAGGGTTGAAATGGATAAATACATGCCTAGAAAAGTGTCATGGCAGTCTGTCCAACCAGGAATGTCCCAGTAGGTTTGACCAAAATTGTGATAAATTCAACAATCTGACCCTAATTCCCTATAGTTGCAAGAAAAACCTGAGATGATGTCATGTTTTCATTTCAGTCAATGAGCTTGAATGCAATGGATCAAACCAAACCTAGATAACTTCCCTGGTCATTAAAGGAGGGGAAAGACTCATGTTTCACCATTTACTGGTTGGTGACAGTTCCACATAAAAATGTTCTTTCCATACATTGGTGATCAACTAAATAAAAGTCTCAAGCTTCTATCCAAGCAAACACTCTTGACAGATGACCCTGAAACAGACAGGCAGCAGGCTGGCTTCCTGTTCAACTGTTTCACATGCTTCAGATATCCTTCTTAGTCAGAGAAAGATTTCCGTTTGTCTGGCAGGTGAAGTCTGCTCTCCAGATACCGATGTGGTTTATTACCTACGCTGTAAAACTGCCAGACATATTCACATGCTGGCACGTTTCGACACGGCTGTGGTTTGAAAGACATGTTTGATATTCCAACTATTTTGTTAAGCAATCGACTTTTGATTCATCCGATTGTGTTTCTAAGAAAATGTAATTGGCCTAATTATCCGAACCGCAATAAACGTAATTCATAAAAACCACTGATGGGCTAAAGGTGTTTCCTCAAAGACAATGTGGTATTTTATACATCAGTACACCTTTCAGTGCTCATACCATATCAACGTACCACAATCATAGACTAGCTATTCAATACTTAAAACCAGTCTCCAAATGATCTTACAAACGACTTCAAAATGTCACTCGATGTATCACCCAACAAGAAACCAAAACAACCACAAAGAAAGGGACGCAAAACAGCCAAAAAAGACTATGAGAAAATGACTCAAAATGACTATTAAGAGATACAGTATAACATGATGTCAGTTTCCATGTCCTATCTCTGTTTGCGCATTGAAAAACTAAATCTTGAGATCTTTTAAAGCTTGTCTGAGGTGAAATAGTTGGTGTTCCATAAAAGCTAAATGTGCTTTAACACTGAAACTGTATGTTTTTTCACAAACGTTTTCACTGAATGAGTGAAAATTACCATGTTGTTTTCAATACAATACTAATAGCCAATCAGAAACTAGTATTTTATGTTGCCATTAGGCAGAGTTCCAAAGTGGGAGGAGTTATTTTGGTTGTCCAGGGTTTCAAAACTGACGGTCATTTAATGATGCTAGCGACAAGCTAAATGTACGTTAACATACTGCGGTTATAAGATTACTTTTATTTGGTTTAAAAAAAAAATGTAGCATCTAAATAGTCACATCAATTAAGCGTTACACTAGCCACAGCTCTTAAAATATACAGCTGTCTAGCTTCCTCTACTTCCAATGAAACGTGTAGATATTGTGGTAGACTTTGTAGAGTTATCCACAATGCCAAACTGACGAGAAAAACACATGATTTCTCAAACAAAGCAAGATCAAATCTCTGGTATTGATGTGTGATTACATCGACCTTTAGTATCATCACAAAGTCCAGGAGAGTCCTGTGTGTCTGTGTTGAGGACCCCTTAGGGAAAAACCTTTAAAAGAGGAATTTACAGTAAGGGAAAATACCAGATGTTCACATTTTGCTCTTATGTAATGCAAACATTTAACATAAAACTCACAATTCCTCCATTTATTTAATGCACAAAAACATTATAATGTGCAATATAATATACTGTGCCTTTTTGTAAATCATTTCTGAAATAATTTTAATTTGATGTTCAGTCTTTCCACCATATCTTGTTTTTTTAAATGGTAAACTTATTATACTTTCCTACTTTCTTTTGCTGTCGCCTCTGTAATACTGCATATTATCTTATCCATCTAATCCTAATGGGCTACTTTGACTCTTTTATGGGATCACAAAATGTCCCTATTAATAAAAACCACATTGCCCAGCAGTACTGGATTCATGGCATTCACACCAAAGCAGCCAAACATAAGAAGCCTTGAACCACTAAACCCCCGCCGCCTCCTCCTCCTCCTCCTCCTCCCTGGCAGACTCCATCCCTTTGGGCCATTTCTGAGAAGGACACAGCCCTCACTGTTTGTACAGATAAAACTTTGCATGGACAAAAACATGTTTTTCTTTTATATTGCTGGGTGGTGGGGTAGGACAAGGACAAGGGTGCCACGCTGTGAAAATGTTGCCCCATCTCTGGGATCTCTCCCTCCATTCCTGTGAGGCTTCAGGCGCCATGTCCAACCAATGAGCATTCCTTTCCACAAGTAACTACAAGTAAACTCATACCACCACCGCTGAATCATGGGACAGTCTGGGACAATCTCTGCTGACCAAAAGAAACCAAAAAAAGAAAGCAAGATCTGTGGATGTGTTGAAATGGAGGGATGTTGGTGCAGGTCCAACCTTGAAAATGGACCAGGAAAGAAATGTGAAAAGACATTTTTGAAAATAATTTCCACAAACACACTTCCATACTTAACCCTAACCTTCAACAATACATACCTAAGCCTTATCTCTACTTTGACTTACCCTACAACCTAACCCCCGACTCCAATTTGGACCAGAGTCAAAGTGAAAATATGCACAAACAGCCAGTTTCACTAAAATATGCAAACTTCATGATACGCCGGGAAACGTGACCTGAAGGAGACATTTTAAAATAATGTGTCTTTAATGCTGATAACAAGTCTGAAAGTCTCGAATTTTGCAAAAATAATTAATTAATTAACGGATAAATGTTGTGGCTTGGTCATATTTTGTCAGTCACATTCAAAATCTAAACCTTCCTGACTGCTGTCACTTTTTGTATAGAGAGAATTAGGACAATTCTGTCTGCTGTGTTTGGGACATTGTGGAGAAATGATGCAATGTTGTAAAAGTAAGAAAGTACATTTAAGAAAAGGTAAGGCTGCCCCCTATTAGTCTTATTCTTTCAAGACGTCTTAAGTCGAGTAGAGATTTTTAAAGTGTTTTTTTCTATCTCCAAGTAACACGAGTAAATCTCTGGCAATCACAATATTTAAAGAGAAACTAAGTCTTCGAGTGGACAAAATCACATGACGTTAAGTAGACTACGATTTTTCTTTTAGAAATGGACAGCCTTAAAAATGACAGTAGATCAAACTTGTTTTCAAACCTGCTATATATAAAAAGGTGAAATCACAAACTACTACAATCCATGGTATTCACAAATGAACATACAATTCAACTTCACAGCACAAGCACCAGACGTATTTTACATGTTGTGGACACTGTGGCGGTCTCATTGTATTTCTTAATGTTGTGTATACTCTCTTTCTAATGTTGATATGTACATATTGACTGTGTACTCCGATACAAATCCTGAGAACCTGCTGCTACTGTAACACAATCATTTACTTATTTAGGATCAATAAGGAACATCTATCCATCTTACATTTCAACAAGATTATTTCCCATTGTGCCACCTCGTTGTTGTTTTATTTACCTGCTTCTGTTATACAATAACCCACAGCACACAGGCCAACATCTGCCAGCCTCTGTGTGAAGTCCACTGGTGGTTTCCCTCTGATCCTGTGGTTCTTCCTTTAAAGAAGCCTCTGCAGCGCCTGACTGAATCAAACCCAGCTGTGGCCAAATACCTGAAGGCACACTGTTGCATCACCAAAGTCAGAGTATAATAGGTCTAATTGTATAAGATAAATGTCACCTCCTGCCTCTGGAGACAGGCTGGCAGGATGATACTCAAAAGTGTCTAAATACAACTTTGGTGTTATGGTTTGCACATCTCAGCATTTAGGAGTCAGCTGCCAGGCGAGTTCTTTACTAATCAAACACCTGAACAAATAAAAGCTCCCGGCAAAAGTAGTAAAAGTGTGTCAAACATAAGAGAGCAGGTGTGTGTTTGGGCGTAGTAATAGACTAGTAGAAGCACACCTGAATGAAACACATGGTTGCATCGGTGCCAAACTATGCAGGCCTTTAGGCTTGGAACAGAGACAAAAAAAGCAAACTATGGACGTTTTTCCCACTTATTCTCCTCCATGTCCCCTTAATAATCCCAACAGACTCATATACTAATTCAGCTATTTGGTTATCTTATGTGTGAAAAACAAGAAATCCACTTTTTAGTGGGATACATTTGGAAATATTGTGATCTTATGCATATTAACAGTCTGTTCCTAACCACATATTACGGCTTAATTGTAAATGCAGGAACTTAACTAAATAAAGTGCAGCGTTTTCTGATACTAAAATAAAAAATATATAACTATATAGAAACCTCCTGGATTTCTTTACAAATAATAAGGTCCATAACCATAAAGTGTTGGCCCCTTAGAGGTCCCTACTTTAGGGAGTCTGCAGCAAAAAACATGGCAATTTCAGCATTGTCTTTAATTTAACAATAGGGGATTATGTAAAAATGAACTATTCTGTTGATAAGTTAACTTCTCACATTTGTGTCAAAGCTTTAAAACCGTTACAAAATGGTGTCTGTGTAGTTAACAGTTTTTGCCTGCGGCCCCTGGACATGGAAAGGGTCGGAAACCCCTGTTTTACCGTCCTGTGGCCTCACTGTATCCACTGCTGCAGCTCCAGAACATTCCTATGCAGAAAAAACTCTTCAAGTCCAATTATAACTCCAAGGAAAACACCTAGAAATCTCTCTAAAATCTCCTCACTTCAACACACCCACGACGGAAACATTTTTTCCTCAGCAACAAGTCGTGGAAATGAGTTTACTCCACCACTCCCCTCCCCAGGAAAAGTTAAGTCTCAACTTACCATGGGATAGAAGAAGAAGAAGAAGAACAAGAAGAAGAAGAGAGCGAGAATAACCTCAGTTTGGAGAATAAATCCTGTTTCTCGGTTGAAGAGCGCATAGAAAAACCCGAGGAGCTCAGTGAGGACGGAGAAAGAGGGTAAATGTGATGAAACGAGCCTCCATTTTCTCCGCAGACTGCAGCAGGATCAGAAATGCAGCACAAAGTTGGACACTCGCTGCATTGTTAACATTCCTCAGGTCACGTGACGGACCGACGCACGTCAGCAGCGAGACAAAGATCGTGTGTTGAAAAGGATGGTTCACTCCGAGGAGTTACTTTTCACTAGAAACTGGATTCTTGGTAATAGCTTTTAATATAACCAGGTTTACAAAGGAAACACCTTTTTTTTTAGATGTATACGGAAGAGGATAAGGGCCACATGAGAAACACATTTGAGCTGTGAACAAAATAAATACAAAACTGACTTGAAAATGATACATTTATATTTGTAAGATTTCTTTTTCTTTTTTCCTGAAAATCTCATAATTCTGACTTTGATCTCAAACGTTTTTAGTCACATTATTTTAAAAAAAAAACTCCTGTGGCCCTAACCCTCTTCCGTAAATGTACTCGGGTCATAAGACTTTCATTGCCATTTCTACACTGTAGTTTATGTGCATATGACAATTAAACCTTTGAATTGAATTTAAATTCTGAATTGAAAGTAAACATATATTTATTGTTTACATCCTATTCTGACACAGTTCATGCACAAAAGCATTTTTTTTTTTAAGTAGGGAAAAATAAAGTTGTTTTAGTATCGATCACAAATATATTGATTTACATAATAATACCATCATCTGACCCCATTCTCTTAAAGGTGGGGTAGGTAATTCCCTTCAGAAACACTTTTTGTTATATTCCATGGAATGCTCTTAACATCCCGATAGCAATGAATACATTAAATGCTTTGACAATAAATACATAAAAAAATGTCATCTGTGGAAGCCGTGGCGCTGTCAAAAGCACGACCAATCATCTGAGCCGGCCCGGCTAAAATAACTGGATGGCCTACCTGCCTGTCAGCCTTCCATGTGTGCACAAACTTATCTCGTGCCCTCATTGGTCATGTGCGCGTTCGTGTGTGTTGGAGGAGGGGCTCTGTAAGGAAGTCTGAAGGAAAGGGCAGATTTGTTCCGGGTTGTGTACTTTCAAATTCTAGCGCACTCGAGCTGGTTTCTCCATTCTTACCTACCCTACCTTTAACATTTGTTTTTATTTTCTTTATAATTAATGAGCAGTTGTAACGTTGGCTTTTCTCCTCGTATGTGGTTTTCTCAGCCTCAAATTACCAATTAGAGAAAGACAGAGAATGTAAATGGCACTGCATCTAACGATTATTTTCTATATCAATGAGCACAAAAATCGCGGAGTTTGACATTTGCGCTTAGGGGGGCAAACCTTTTTTTACTGACGTCAGTACACAGTCCCAACTATTACTATTAGTGCAGAGGTAGACGCCTTAAACGTAGAAATATCCAGAAATATCCATTACTGCTAATTATTGTAATACAATAGCTGAATCACTTGTATGCCCCCCGCAAAATCCGCCTATGAATGAATATGTGAAAAAAGTAAAAAAATCCTATTTCATGAAGTGCATTGAGACGTTGTACATTACTTCGTGTTGAGCCCTTATGTGATTATATTGCATATTTGATTACATTATTCCAGCACAACTTATTTTTTAGTAAACAATCTGATTTTGATCACTCATCGACCACCAGGGGCACCAAAGGATGCATTTCTTTTGACTTCAACATAAAGTGACTTCAAAAAAGACCAGCAGAGTGAGAGGTCTCGAGTTTTCCTCCTCTCTGACCGCACATATTCTAGGCGGGGCTTCCTGCAATGTATTTCTCCCCTTGATAAATAAAAAGAAATTCAGTCGATTACTCAGACAGTCATTCCCCTCTGGACCTACAAGGCATCTTTACTAATGTGCCAAGAGGTCACGAATCAGTGTGAAAGCTAATAGATGGCTTTCACTCTATTAACAATTATCACAACAAAGTTAAACACATGGAAATAAAGACGGGGCAGATAATATAATACCTGAATACACACAAAGACAACACGGAAAAAAAGATACTGCATTTCCAAACTTTAATTTTCAGTCACAGAGGAAGAAGACAACTAAATGAGAAGAGGTTAAACATCATGGAAGTAGGCTACATGCACCCTTTATAATAATGTTAAACAGCGAGAAAATACAGGTGGAGTGTGTGTGGGATTAACAGAGATCTCTTAGTGATAGAAAAATAAAATGTATGAACAAAAATCATGGACTAATTTATCAGAACATGTTTGATTCATCTCAACCTTGAAGGTATTTATTTTAGAGTAGGAGTCACCTCATATTAAACCCATATAATACATAGAAAGTTATTAATGTCTGGCAGATAATTACAATAACCTAATATTGCTTGTCACTATTGAACTTAACCAGGTATATTTGGCAGGTTTACCCTGACAACAATCCCTCCAGAGTACAGGAAGAGATACTTTTTTCTCCCACTTGGACATTTTTACTCGGTTCAGTAGCAACTGTTTCATTTTCCTTCCTTAAAGCAACAATGCAGAAACCCGCGTCACTCCAGGAATAAATCATGTTTGTTAATCAAATACTAAGCAGATGCAGCAATGAAGATACACATTGCTTCAAGAGGTAATTATGAACTAAATAGTGCAGGTGAAACCAAGAATACATGGTTGAAATTGTCTGAAAACTAAATGAAAAATGGAACGGTCCATGCACTGACCATGTTTTATTTTCTGTTATTATCTTGTTTATTACTCATCATTGGTCCTTTGGGAAGTATGTATTTCTATTAGGCGGAAAAGGGAAATTCTATTGATATTTTATGATTGAATTATTCTATACCTTTTAATGTATTAGTACATATTTCCCATTTATTAAGAAGATTATGATTTCATATTTCATCTAACTTTTTATTTATTCATATGAAATTAGTATTCAACCCTCCTATTGTCTTTGTTCCCCCCCCCCTTACTTTGGTGTTCGCGGTCAAATTTGACCGGTCCTGTTTTAACTGCTATTACATTAACACAAAAACCATTAATCATCACCAAATTTCATTTAACACCCTTTCAAACTGTACATATTGTATCAGACTACTGGTATACATGAAAAACTGCAGTAAATATACAAAGAATAGACACTGGAACATGTATTGCGTGTGCCAGGTGTGATTCATGTGGGGGGATGGGCACATAAGAGCGGGACATGGGTCAAATTGTTCTGTGTGTGTTGGTGTGTGCCAGGTGTGATTCCCTATGTGTGATTCACATGGGGGGATTGGGCACATAAGGGGGGGGGGGACACATCTAGAGTATGTGTGTGTGGGTGAGGTGTTTGTGTTTTATCTGATCCGGATGGTTACTAATTCCTTTTCTTTATGGCGGCCATTTTTGACCGGGAACACCATGGGTGTTACAAAGTTGACTAAATCATCCAAAATTCAATGAAAGAGGTGATCAGCAATTTTATATGTTCAAATGTCTACTGTGAAGGATATCATAAAGCCTTGAAGCAATTGAATGTGAAACAAAAAAGTTATGATTGATGAAAGTTATAAATCGGTCAGATTTGACCCGAAGACAACAGGAGGGTTAAATATGTTGTACAGGCAAATTCAATAGTATTATGTAGACTTTTATTTTTTCTCTAGCTTTTCTCTTCTATTATAATTGTGTCTACATTACGGGCATTCTTTAAGTGTACCCTACATTTTATTTATATCATAGAGAACAAAGTACCAGCTGGTTGCTTTACATTAACAGTGACGAGGAAAGCATAGACATAGAAGACATTCATGTTCTTAATGACAACAGGATACTTTACGAGCACACGGACACGCAGCTGTCAATGTGAGGGGATCATCCAAGAAGGCACATTCCAGTTTGAGCTTTCAGAAAACATTTAAAAACCCATCACTAAAACTCAGTCTCTGCCGTTATAATAGCGTGCAAATTGTGTAATAAAACTTTCCTGAATGTATTTTAGGAGCACAAATCACCTCTTAAAAGATAATCAATGTGTGGTGTGTGGCGCAGTGGATGAGTGCGCTGATCTTCAAATTAGAGGATAGCAAGTTCGAGTCCCGCTGCAGTCAGCATGTCGTTGTGTCCCTGAGACACTTCCCCCCAAATTTCTCCCGTGGGGATTGGCCACAGTATGTATAAAAGCGTCTAACATGTCATGCAATAACTTGACATCATTTGAAATGATAACACATTGTATGGCAGAGGGTGAAGACCATTAAACATACAGGGAACATTTCTTAAAGCACACATAAATCCAAAGTGAATAATAAGAGATGCAGATGTTAAGCATAATAACCAGAAAAAGGGTCTAGTGCATGAAGCAAAACATTTCTATTTGTAGAAAAAAAGCAGGCTGACTTTTACTCAAAGTACCAGCTTGAAAAACTAAGGCACCAGCAAAGCAGGACAACGCATTAGCAGGGTCTCGGATTACGCAAGATGAAGTGTTTATAAACCAAAAAAAATCAGTTTAAGTGACTACATGTAAGCCAGTATCTTAGCTTAATTTGACAAACTATTAAAAACATAAGAAATGCATAATGTTTCTACCAAAATAGCCTCCAGCATGTTCTGTATGTAACAGAAACATCTCTGTGGTGTGTGCTCATGGTCCGAAACAGTTACAATTTGAAAACAACATGATGAGAATGAAACGCTCACAAATGTAATGTATATTCTCAGAGAGACACTCTCAACTAAGACGTCACTGTTCTCGCTAAATAACACTTCAGTGTCTGTGAAAAATCAACAACAATTCTTTCATAACACATCTTTAATGACACTGAGTCAGTGTGAGTGTAAAGAATTGCAGAAGCATGTAGGAGAGAATGGCGCTTTAGGGGGTTGTTTGGATGATTTCAAGTGGGGATGTTTGAGGTATTTACTCATAGCGAGTGAAAGACTAAATACAGGTGATGGTTGTCAACTTGACCTCAGTTTGGAGAAGCAGATGGGATTACCAGCACAGGAGTAAAGCAATGAACTGATGGATTCCCGCTTCACATTGCAGTCAGAAAGCTCTTTCCAAAAGGGACCCGTTTTCCATGCTGCTTAAAACCACCAGACTCCATTGAAGAAAACTTGTATTTGATGTCACAGAACACACGACTTGCTGGTCTCCATGATCGGTTAGT